GGAGTCATCCAATGAGAGTTTTATATAGGTCGAACCGGATTGGAAAATCCAATGTATCCAAATGATATGTTATTTTAGGTTATTCGTAGCAAATAGAGTTCTGCAGCGATAGCTTCTAATTGCGTAAATACTTGCAACAATGCGTAAAGTCGGAAAAAAGTTATACTGATAGTAAAAAAAAAATAGTTTGTTTATAGTTACGTATAACGCAATAGAATAAAATGCTTGCACAGTTTAATCTCAAAATAAATGAAAACATATTACATTCTGCCAATTAAAAGACTTAGGGCCTGTCCCACCACTGGCTGATAAAGGCTCTGATAGCTTAAAAATGACATCACTGTCAGATAAAGTAACAAAATCCGATATTTCCATCACATGTTCGACACATCTGAGACTTTACAAGAATTTGGTAGGATTGACTCTTAAAAAACTGCTGTTGATGATCATTAAACTTCCTATGACAGACGGTAGTGTCAATATCTACCTCCAGGCTTTCGAATTCGTCGTCTTCGCAGTTTTATTGTGTAAAATTAACTTTTTCTACAATGAAAATTTAGTAAAATGGTTTAATTAAATTATTTAACCATATTATAAACAATCATCACATCAAATAAATTCAGGTTATTTTAGCTCGACTACATATGTAGATAAGAAGAGAAGGGCCGGATTTAAGCCTCCGGTTAACTCACCTCACCAAACAATAACCAGTACTACTGTATCTCATTGTACTTGTTGCGAAAAATGTTTATGTTTTACATTGAAACCAAAAAATATAACAATGGCATTCTACAGAGACAAAAATGTGGAAAACAAGATTAAACTTCTTTTTGGTAAGAGTATCATTAAAAAATATTTATGGTCACATGAGCGTTAATTGGCAATGCTCTAAAAAACAAAAAATAACGCACTTCGATTGTCGCAACAACATAAATGAAACGGAACGTCGCGGGCCGAGTATCCGAAATAAACGTCCGAAATTCTGTCGTGTAGACAAACATACAATGTCACGGTTGCACCGCTCGTAGGAGAAAGTCTCTCCCCCTCCCCCTCCCCCGCATCACCGACACTATCGTAATTCGTATCATGTAAATCGTCGGCGCAGCTGCTCGTTACGCAACCTGCTGCGATCTGTATAGTACATGTGGAATTATTACTGTTTACACATTCGGAGGTTAATAGCCTTGTGGGCTACATTAAAAGCAAGCACAACTGTAACCGCACATATATCTAATGTTGAGAAAACGAATAATCAAACAAATGTCACGATTAAGTCTATTACAGTCTTATATGCATCTTGCTTTCATATGTAATTTATTTTCTATACCATAGACTACGAACAAGACAGTTAACACAATTAAAGAATACTTACATCAGAAAACAAAACAAGATTATCCTACCTATTCTGTACACGTGTCAACGATCGTTTAATTACATCATAGTATTAAATAAGTATCTCGCTTGCTATCCTGATTTCAACTTTACATGAGATCTGCACAGGCAACGCGACTTTTCTCATACCAGGAAATGTAAAAAAGTGCACTCCGACTGGCCTCACAACCCGCATTTACTCTCGATATTAATAATAATAAAGATAAGTGAATAGCAGATGGTGGAAAGCGGCCAAGGGCGTTGCATCCGCGGCAGACGATGCACCCGACCGTCAAGGCAACAACACCGTTAAATCTGGACTTTATTGATAAAAAACTTTTTAACCTTAACCCAGCTAGCTATGAAAAATAATGTAAAAAATCACATCGCCAATGATCACAAATCGTCAGTAAGTTGTTGATTTTCCTAAAAACTATTAATAATTAAATTGTGTACAGTTTACTCGAATTTATAAATCAGTATAATCAAACGCAATATTGTACTAAAATGTTTAGTATCACTCTAAACATTTACATTTAGGAGCGGCTGACATAATTTACATTAAATTCCAAGTAGACCTAATCGAACATTTTATATAGCTTTGTACATAGTTTGTATTGTTGATTCGAAAATAGACTAATATACACTTGTAAGTTGTTAATAACTGTTATAAAGTCGTTTTATTTTCATATAATAATAAGAAAATAGTACAAGAGCGCTATAAACTTTAATATTTACGCGGAACCCAGACAAAGACGGCCATGTACCGGTTTGGGCGGAGAGCGCTGTCACAATGTTCCATCGGTCACTGGCATTAATCTCTCGCGCATTGTTTTTCTTGGCTTTCTTTTCTATGTCCGCACTCCGTACACGCGAGTTGCTACATAATTACAATCAACATTACCGCCAGTATAATATTTCACATCGTTATATTTGTCCCACATCATGTTATAAGGAGAATATTTATACCATACATGTGATAATTAATGCAAAGAATTTTAATGCAGGTAAAGTAGCAAAATAATTAGTATATAAGTGGTTCTTTAGTGAAATTTAAATCAGTATTTTTTATGCCTATGTCAAATAACGAAAACTAGTACAAGGTGTTACGATAAGGATCTGAAAACGATATCAGTTCTGATTTATAGTATGAGCTATCACTTTTCAGAACACTATACTTATACTCGTATGATGTACTCTTTTTTCCTGTTATTTAAGATATAAATTATTACAATATTTTTTATCCAAGAATAGATGTATAGCATGGTTTTTACTTTATTTTCTTTATATCTGTCTCATCTGCGAGAAAACTTTAAATTTGCACCAAAGTCTTTCTATTACATTATTTATAAACAATATTACAATTTACAAAAATTGATAAGTATACTACGCCGTACGTATCTAAGCAAAATCAATTAATATTAAGGCGGAATTAGAGTGTAACGGTCTGAATGATAAAACACATTAGGGCGGGTGTTTATCAGTTTGTTAAACACATACTGACCCAAATATTACAAGCGTACACGTAATAATTTAGACGAGACAGATAAGATGGACAGAATAGTTTAATCACAATATTAGCGAAGATACTTAGTACCTAAGTACTTTCTTAAACAAACGTTAAACCTAAGATAGGTTAGAACGGTATTATGTGGTTGTTGCTCTTTCTACTGCAACCGTAACTAGGACGACGCGAGGACACACTGGATACATGTATATCTGTAACACGCACTTTGCTCTACTTCCCAACCCAATAGTTAAATATTTACCAATCATAAGCTTGTCCACTACTACACATAGGTCTTCTCTAATACCATTCGTAGTATTTATTTATATCTTTAGTTTGCAAAAAAATGTTACGTTTATTACCTGAATAATATCTTGAAGATTTAAGGTGTCTTTTCTGTTTGTTATTTGACATTTATCGTAAAGATCGAAAGTGAAATGCGAGCGAGATTGTTTAAAAAGCTGTTTTTATTCAAATCATGTGGTGTAAATAACCATTTCAAGTCCAAAAATCTGGTTACGCGAAAAATAACCTACGACATTAGATACATTGTATACTCTCTTTTGCATTTATGATACCTACTTTTTTTCCAGTCGTTTACTTTCGCCGATACAAGTTGACATTAAGTTGTTATCGAAAAAATCAAGAACGATTTATGATACTCGTTTAAATCGCAATAAAGATCCAATATGTTACAGACGCATCACTTTTTACTACACCAATTAAAACAGAAAAGAATCTACGTATTTAAAAACAATGTTACATACTTAATTACGAAATGTTTAATAACTTCCTCTGATTTTAAGGTTAAGAATTCGCCGTTTAATTGCTATTTATTAAGTGACAATAAAGGTGAATTTTTTAGCATTAAATACTCACGATATTGTCATATTTAGTTGATAGCTGCAGGGGGAAACGCGACCCGGTTCGTATTGTAGATAGGCTCAAGTTCGATCGCCCTTGGCCCATATCTACTATGTTACTGGGTCAAAGGCTGCATGTACATTTATATTTCGCGAAATATTATTTTAAGTACTCTGTTCTAATGCTTTCGTATAAATATGAAAGTTCTTTGTAGTAAGACTGTCGCTCTTCATAGAGAGACATTATGGACTAATAGGATTATGTTCTATAGCGTACTTTATTTAAGTATATAGAATAATAGTATTAACATATAAATCCAATTCTCTATACAACGAATACTTTCACTTGCATCAACGTATGTAAATGAGCTATTTTATATATATATTATTATTGGGTCCCCACAGAAATTAAAAAAAAAACACTTATTTAACTTTTGCCTTTTCTCAAAGCTATTTATCATTTAAACAGCATATTTATAAGCAGTAAGTAATTGCTGCTAATTTTTAATTTCCTTGTAATGTACATATAACTTTTACTCTAAAAATATATTATGCTAAGTATGGTAGCACATTAAAATGTATTTCGAATTATGTCTAGGTGTCCCAAATACTTATTAATATTGATGCACTAAAATCATGTACATTTACAATCTGCTATTAATTTAATATAGCCATTAATTAAGACTAAATTCTTTCGAAAGTATATTAGATAGTAATCAAAGTAAAATTCAGAAATTGGAATTTGGCTATTAACACATAAGTGCGAATTATTTACTTAAAATGTGTTAAAACTGAACTTTCTCGTCGCTAAAAGTGCTAATAAAAAAGCACGTAGAAAAGATAAAGTTGATTTCAGGAAGGTTAAAAGAACTATGAGGATTTTATTACAATATCCTAGATACAATTGGTATCACATGAGACGTCCTGCCATTCTAGCATCTAACGTTTGTTATACTACCAGGTAAATGGTAGAAACTTCATCTTCTAAGTGGGTAGATCACAAATCAAATACAGCAACCACTTAATGTAAGGTGAGTTGTCAGTTTATTCTTTAAGACATAACGTTAGTCCTGCAAGATTGAAATATAATGTGTATCTATTTGTGTCTATTTCAATTTTAATTAGAAATGTAAGGATTTACAAAAGTATACTACGTTTTCCGTAAAACAAATACATAAAAATATAAAAAGGTGTACATAAAATTATTGTCAGTGTTTACAATATTTTCATAAACTTAGATAAACAATAAAATGTCTTACCTATAGTTTTTAAAATCTGCAAATCATCCAATTCGTATTCCTTTTCCTCTTCAGAATAATCTGACTCCGTGGCGGTGGTGGACTCCTGTTCCTCGGAGGAGGAGGCTACGGACAGGGAGCGCACGTCGGAGCTCAACTCCGAGCTGCACTCCCGCACCAACTTTGCACTGGCCATCATCATTTTTAAAGTTTTTGTCACAATGTTCTAATGAGAAAAATAAATTAAACGAGATTTAAAACATTATTTGAAAAAACACCGACTAATTTTTATTGAATTTTAATAATACAATTTTAAATGAATTAAAAGTTATAACGTGAAACGAGTGGGAGAACGCGATTCAAAGACGTCGAGAGACGCGTTTGTTCCTCACCGCGGCTCGCTTCTCACTGGCGTGCTGGTGCTACGGATATAGAGATCGGATAGGAATCAACTATACGTACGGCATGTAATACATATAAATCACTTTTTATTCCGACTCTACATCTTTTCTAAACGGACAGCGGTAAATATTTATTTATATGTTTATTTTCGATAATTTTAAGCCAATAGACTACAGATCCACTAGATAGCGAACAAGACAACTTGAAGGTTTCGCAATCTACGATATTTAGGTAACTAGTGAATTGAACCCATAGCATGTTTTATTTGTTAGCTTTTTTTTAAATTACATAATTAAATTCCCAAACATGATATCTCTTACTCATCCAGTTTGAATAATATTCTTTTACCCCAATACAAATGACTCACACTCGTAAGTTACTGATGATTTCAACATGTTTACGCCTAGTGTTTTAACGCAATGTTTTATTAGAATAACTTATAATACACCAAATGTTTGTTAATCATCCTAAACTATAGGAGAAAGAGGACGAGGGATTCATATTTAAAAAAAGGTAATTTTAGACAGTTTCTTTTTTAAACACTTTATTAACCAACATATAGGCAGCTTATAACCAATGTAATATTCATAAATACAATAGTTTAAATAATAATATCACTGATATCCGATATATGTTTTTTCTTAATTGTTAATTTTTAAAATTAAATTTACAACTTTATATATCTCACGCCAGTCAAAATATACAACTTGTTACCGCGGCGTTCAAATTACATTTTAAATAATAATTTAAATTGCTAAAAATAAAGAAAAACATCAAAAATTAACATTTACATATACGGTTTATTTGATTTTTGGTAAACAATAATAACGACAATACCATCTGCCGTTGCGTTTTTCAATGAAGGGAAATTTACATTACTATTAGAAATACATAACATCAAGTACCCTACCCTATTGTAAAGCAAGTAAATTAACTTGCAGCAATGAAACATTACTTTGATTTCTATTATTTAAAGTCATAGTTTAAAATGCTCTACACTGGAAATCACCTTACTATAAATTTGTTTAGATAAAACTAAACTTGTTAATGGCTGATTCTAGGAATATATAAAACTACTTTAAAATATAGCATAGTGCGTAAGTCGTCATTAAATTAATAAAAATATAAACAGCAACTTCTTACATCTATATATTACATCATTTCCTCTAGTATATAACATCTTATAAAACTAGATTGTTATTAGAAATTGTGATGTTTTTGTGATGTTTCTGGACATTTTATTAATTAATACTAATATGTCGACAATTTTAGAATTTAAGTAAGAACAATTTTGAATATCGTTATGAAATATTGAATGTGAAATCATTGTTTTTTTAGAAACTTCAAGATCTTAAAATCTACCCAAATAGCGAAGTATGTAATAAGCTATTCCGAAATTCTAAACTTTTTAATAATTATACGTGACATTTTATCTCTTTTGCACTATTTATCTGATTTCTTATACAATTCCTTACCTTGACTTATACAAAAATAAACATCTAAAAACAATATACATACAAATATACAAGATATACACATTTTTATTTATACAATAAATACATCAAATATTAAGGACAAAAAACAAATTACATTTGAGAAAACTTTGTATGGTAATTTTAGATCAATGCAAAAGTATAACTTTTTACAACAAAACGCATAGCAGTGTTGCCACATCCCAATATAAACATTTTGCATCGTTAAAATATTTTTCTTACTTCATGGTACAAGGTAGAAATTTGAAGTTTGAGTAATCTTATTTACTACTTTACAATAAATAATTTCCGATAATTTGCTCACGTTAAAATTATATTTATATGATACATTTTATTTAAAAGTATTTCTTTAAAATTAGTGATTTACAGCTTTAAGGGCCTGTCCCACCAAATTGTAAATTGTCTGATCACAATCCAACGTGTAAAATATGTGATAGAAATATCGAATTTTGTTAACTTATCTGACTATTTGAGCCTCTAGTCAGTGGTGGGATAGGCCCTAAGTTTTGAAATCGCAAATCAGGCAACTGTTAAAATGTGTTTAATAGTTCCCCTCTATTAATTTAGTTTAATATGTAATTATAAGTTCTGTAGAACACAAGCGGCGTGTTACGTGTGTTAATTAACCACCGAAGCCGGAGCAATGGCGGATACTTGTTGCGATTAGCTAACGTTTCAACTCGTGAAGGAAACCGCTCCAATGCGTGTTTCTTGTTTACAAACGTATCGCATATATTTTATTGTATAACAATCTGTTATTAGTTTTGTTTATTAATTTCTATTTGTTTAGACTGGTTTACTGTATGACATTCTTTGCAAGCAGCGTAACGGAAGTTTTACATATGTATTATTTTTTAATAGTTAGCGGTGTTCCACTTTAGGAAATTGCTTTGTTTTATGCAACGAGATAAACTCCGCCACTTCTTACAAATAACTACTTAGATATTAAGAGGTACAAGCGAAGGGACAAAATAAACTAATTGTGTATCATTAACCAACCTTTTTTCTTACAGATACGTTTATAAATTGATTTTTGTCTCGCATTTCGTTACAAAATGTTAAAAGATTTTAGAGCTTTTAAGGTGGAACACTTTCCCCGACTCTACATATACGGAATGGAATTTTTTTTCCTAGAATTTCAAGAGCCAACCACTGACGTTTTAAAAGGGTTGTTTTAACGTCAATCTTCTCATAGACCCATCTGATATTGAGCAGCAGTTAACTTGCGAAGTGGGCAGTACAACCGATTTTTGTAATTCGATCCAAGGTTTTCCGACACATTTGATTTTTGAAGACAAGTTATTACATACATTGAGAGCCCACCACTCATGGCCCCACCGACCCTCGGATGATACGGGGAAAATCGCGGGAAGAGCGCGCGGTTTGGCCGGTTTCGGCTCCGCACGCACCTTCTTGATTCCCTACAAGTTGTTTCAGTTAGTTATGAGACAGTAAGGATGAAGAGTAGGCCGGCGTGTGTGGGCAGCGCGAGGCGGGCGTGCGCTCGCGGCGCGGGGCAGAAGGCGAGCGCGGGCACGTCGGCCAGCGGGAACCGCTCCGGGAACTGCGTCTTCGCCTCGCTCACCACCACCTGCTGGTCCGCCTGGACAACAACCACATATCTTATAATATTATAAAGAGGAGAGATATACATTTTTGTATTTCTTGAAAGAATTAAAAAGACACTGGGCCGTTTTTAACTCTTTCGTCGTTAGAAAAGTAATTTATCTGTGAGTAACATTTTCTAAATACACGCGGGTGAAGTCGCTACTCAATTATACATGTATTGCATTTATCAAACATCTTGACGACTCGGAACAATAAGAAATGTCGCACACAAAACATTTTTATGTGAAACTGTTAGCAATGTTATTATCCTCCTTTTGATACATTTCTTTTTTATAGATTTTACAATTAAAATACATAAGTTTAAATTTAATGTTTTTTGTAAAATGTTTTGACTAATTATTAAATCCTTCAATTCGTTGCTAGTTTTACCCTAAATATTTAAGAGTAAAAATGAATAATTATGTTTCAACTAGCTGTCGCCCGCGAACCCGATCGCATGTGATTAAAAAAATTGAATAGTCTAAGTGTTCTTTCAGACGGTCCTTTATGTCTTAGATAAATTTCATCGAGATCCGTTCATCCATTTAGGCTATCCATACTTTCACAATTATAATATTAGTACCTTGGTCATCTGACTTTTGAGTTTAAGTTCTATCCCATATTCCTTGACGGCGTCCTCGTACGTGAGCGGCTCTATCTTCATTGACAGCTCGTCGTTGATGTATTTACTTCTCTTCTTGGCTAACGACACCATGTGTAACATACCCACCACCTATGTAACACATAATTATATCAGGATTTTTTGTCAGTTTGTTTTTAAAAACCTATTGTACGATTTTTGTGAATAATGCTATGTTATTGCGTCTGAAGTAGACTAAATTGCTAACATGTATTTACGACTAAGGCCATGCATGTAACATAACAATAAAATAACGCGTAAATATTTTAGGACTATATTTTTTATATTTACTATGTATACTAATATTATAAAGAGGAAAGATTTGGATTTTTGTGTGTATTGAAATAACTCCAAAACTACTGGGCAGATTTCAAAAATTCTTACATTTAAAAGCTACGTTATCCCTGCATAACAGACTATATTTTTTTTATTTCGGGTGACGAAATCTTGTGCAACAACTAGTAAGCATAAATTTTGAAGAAAAAAACTATTTAAGTAAAGACCAGTCACAAGGAGACAAAGTAATTTAAAAAGAAAAATAACGTGACGCATATGTGTATAATACAAGGTAGTAGGCGTGTGCGGTGTGCGGTGTGGCGTGCGGTGTGGCGTGCGGTGTGGTGTGCGGTGTGCGGTGTGGCG